CTGTGGTGGATTTAACTTGTCGACTTGAGAAGGGTGCCTCTTATGAAGATGTTAAAGCAGCCATTAAGTATGCTTCCCAAAATTTTCTTGACCGACCAGATTTCCTCATCAAAACATTATTGTTTAATGTAGAACTCGTAGTAACCTCTCATGGTTTAACGTAAACCTCTAATAGGTATGCCTCAGAAGGACCTCTTAAAGGCATTCTCGGGTACACAGATGAAGATGTCGTCTCCAACGATTTCGTCGGTGATTCAAGGTTGGTCTCTCTTCTTTTCTTCAAAGCCATCGAAATCTTTTTTTGTGGTTGACCAATGCGGTGCTTTCAATTTTGTTAAAACAGGTCCAGTATCTTTGACGCCAATGCTGGGATTGGATTGAGCAAGTCCTTTGTGAAACTTGTCTCTTGGTACGACAACGAATGGGGTTACAGGTACACTTCTTGTTTCTCATCTCATATTTACTCCATTAGATATAACTAACAGTTCTAACACTAACAAATCTTCTCCCATTTTACTTACAGCAACCGAGTTCTTGACCTTATAGAGCACATGGCTTTGGTAGCAGCCAGCCACTAAATACACACCAGTTCTTGCAGAAGCTTGAGACTTTCTGCTTTTTGCGTAACCTGCTCTACAAAGCCGGTTTGGAGTTGTTCGGTTCAATTAGGTGCTAGGTGTTTTGGGAAATTTGGTTTGTTTGAATCACGAGCCTATCTTCTATTTTTGTTTTGTTCCAGTATGAGCAACTATGGAAACTAGATTGGGTCCAAAAAACTAAAAAAATTGCGACTTACATCTATCAAATAAGGGGCTAAACTTGTTGTACTTTACCAAAAATAGCTTACCAGTATAAGCAACATTTGTTTGGAAGCTTCTTGATAGTGAGTGCGTCGTTAGCTTTGCCCGTGCTTATGACAAGAGATCACTAACCACTGAAACATGTTTTTTAGAAATGAAAACAGAAATTGAATTAGATTAACTGTGTAACTAAACAACGCCTACTTTATCGTTTATATCTTCTTCCTCTGCTAGGTTTCAGAAGAAAGCTTACTCGTTTATTCATTCAACGAAACTCGTTCAGTTTTGGCGATTCCTTGAAGCTAAGCATGAAGATTTATCCATTGAGATGGACAACCACATCATCTATCTCATCTGTCTTGTTTCTGATCTCTTGCAAAACTTGTTGTCTCTTCGCCATCACCACCACACACTCCAGTGTGACTATAGCTTAAGGAAGGACATGAGTTATTTACTGGGTGGCCACCATGTGGATAAAGGGATAAGGTTACTCTTAAATCTGCCCCGATATTTCATACAAACTACAACATTTTCCACCAACTATTGTTTATTCCATATGTTTCCTAAAGTTTTGTTTATTACAGATGTCCCCTGAAATTTCGTTGTATTACAAATACCCCCGAAAATTTTGTTAATTCCAAATGCCTCCAAAAGTTTTGTGTATTACATGTTTGTTTCCTCAACTTTTTGTTTGTTACAGATTCCCCTGAATCTCTCATGGTTTATCACAGAATGACCTCTAAACAATAACGTTCTAGAGTCTAGGTGGAGAGATATATATTCTCCAATGATTTCGGCAGTGATTCAAGGTCTCTTCTTTCTCTAAATAACACCGAATGGTATTTGATTGGCTACAACAATTTGAAAATTTATCTTACAAAAATGGATAATAAAGTGTTATATTTGTTCATCAGAGACGTCCACGTTAAAGTAAAATAATCTGTATGTGGACAAGGTCTTGTACATATAAACCAAGAAGAAAAATGGTCCAGTTTTCAAGTCCACAACAACTTTTGCACCACCACGCATCCGCAGCCACGTATGTTCTTACGAGTATTAAAATCTACTTATTTCGTTTGTACGACAAACAAAAGATATTGCTTGTTGCGTATACAAACAGACAAAAACTCTTGATAATACCAGATTCTCTTAATTAGTACGTCTTAAACTCAACAATACCCATAAGAAAATCCAGTTAAGCTCATGGTCTCATGTTTTCCTATTTATATATATATATGTATAACTAAACACTTTTATGTTGAATTTGTATAGTAGTTATATCATAGTTTGTGATTTGTATGTTCAATTTTATATGAAAATATTAAAAGAATATAGTTTTGCTAATCAAGGTTTTGATTAAGGAAAAAGAGTTTGGACATTTCTACAAATACATGCGTGGCCTTTTTGGCCAACACCTAAAGTTCCAAAAAAGGGGCCAAAAAATAAGCAACAACTTTTGATTCTCTCGTAACTTCCCCCAAAAATCAGCAGAGCGAGAGCGAGAGCGAGAGCGATCGGTTATGGCGGCGACGGAGCATCACGGCCTCAGTGGAGGAGACTACAATGTCGACCTTTTACCAATTGACGAAGACGATTCGCCACCATCTTCATGGCGTCTCAGCCTCGACACATTTCGCCTCCCTTCTTCTTCTCCGTTATCATCTGGCCGCCACAACGGCCGTACTCGCTTGTCTCGTTATCTCCGGACTCCGAGTAAGTTTCTCTTCCTCGTCTTTGTCTTCAAATCTCCGTTCCTGCGTTGCGTTTCGTCTGTACGTGTATAATCGATGTACTGTTACGTGTTTACATGGTTCACGCCTGAAAATGTCACTCTAATCTCCGATTACTCTTCTTCCATTGATAATTTAACCCTACGCGAACTTTTTCCGCAATTGGTTGTAGTATATACGTACGGTGTTCCCAATATGTTAACCCTATGAAAATTCTACAGTGATCTTATCGAATTTTCTGTTTAAAAGCATCTGTATTGATTCAAAAGGAATTTAAGCTTTCTATTTTGCAAAATCCTCTGTTTTCAACTTGAAGCATATATGAGATTCTAAGTGAATCTGGGAATATTCTTATGGTTGTGCAAGAAACATTGGGGAAACATGATGATTTCTTTATTTCTAGTGTCATAGGGACACAGAATCATATTCTTTCGGAGTTTTTACGCATTGTAGATTGATGAGATCATGATAAAAAACCATCAAGTATCGAGATTGTTAAACAAGTTTGAATCATCAGTAAACAGGTACCAAAATCTTAACATGGGTTTTACTCTTTTCTGTTGTAAAAAATCAGAAAAGGAACGCAAAGTCTCTGAGTACTACAAGCAGCAAGAGAAGCTCCTGGAGGGTTTCAACGAGATGGAGTCAATTAACGAGACTGGTTTTGTATCTGGAGCTCCAACTGAGGTACCACTCTTGCTTTCTTTAGGCTTCTTCTGAGATCTTTCTTCCATTTTCTTCATAAATAATAGCATCTTGTTGATTTCAACAGGAAGAATTGAAGAAGCTTGCAAAGAGCGAGAGACTTGCTGTTCACATCTCAAACGCAGCAAACCTTGTGCTTTTTGTAGCTAAGGTTTATGCTTCTGTGGAGAGTAGATCTATGGCTGTCATTGCTTCCACTTTGGACTCTCTTTTAGATCTCTTGTCTGGATTTATTCTATGGTTTACTGCTAATGCCATGAGAACACCAAACAATTTTCGCTATCCAATTGGAAAACGACGGATGCAACCTGTGGTATAGTCTCTGTAATTCTCTCATTGGTTCCCTTAAAACTCACGAAACTCATAGCCATAGTGCTTAAAAATTGCCAGGGAATCATTGTGTTTGCATCCGTGATGGCAACTCTTGGACTACAGGTGATACTAGAGTCAACCAGGCTACTTGTTTCCAAGGTACAACACGGGTTTTCCTCATTCGATCCTTTCTCGTAAACTCTTAACAGGGGCCTTACTAGTTATATTATGTAATCTAATCTAATTTAATCTTTCTCATTGTATAGAACGGTTCTCATATGAGTAGCACTGAGGAAAAATGGATGATTGGAATAATGGCTTCTGCTACAGTCGTCAAGTTTCTGCTCATGCTTTATTGCAGGAGTTTCCAGAACGAAATTGTTAGGGCCTATGCACAAGATCACCTCTTTGATGTTATCACCAACTCAGTCGGTTTAGCAACAGCTGTTTTAGCTGTAAAATTCTACTGGTGGATTGATCCCTCTGGGGCTATATTAGTAAGTAAATCATCATCAACAACCTTATCCATTCATGAAATGTCTCTTATTGACTTATGATACAGAGAGATCAGAGATAGATTGAGAAAACGTTTAATCTTTATGGTTTCCAGATTGCTCTGTACACAATCAGCACATGGGCAAGAACGGTTCTAGAGAATGTCCATTCACTGATAGGACGCTCAGCACCACCGGATTTCTTGGCGAAACTAACGTTCTTGATATGGAACCATCACGAGAAGATAAAACACATTGACACAGTGAGAGCCTACACGTTTGGATCACACTACTTTGTGGAAGTTGACATTGTGTTGCCAGAGAACATGAGGCTGCATGAAGCTCACAACATAGGAGAAACTCTTCAGGAGAAGCTGGAGCAACTCTCTGAGGTTGAGAGAGCTTTTGTCCATATTGACTTTGAGTTTACTCATCGTCCAGAACACAAATGCAAGGTTTGAATATCCCAGTAGGTTAATCAATGGATAATAAATTAAGCAGGTAGTCTCGATTTCTCTAGAGTTTTTGTTGTTGTTTTTTGTTCCCTATGTACTAGTCCACAAAAGATAAAACCTTAAATCCCCAATATAATTGAGTGACAGACACTTTTTAGAAACAACGATTTGGTCCTTTTAGAAACCGACAAAACTTAAGACTATTACAGGCCTAAGGTAATGGCCCATTACTCGGCCCGAGTTACTGCCCGTTAAGAAAGCTTAGGAAATGATGTAGGCCCAATGAAGAATGTATGCTAATAGATTATAGGCCCATTTATGACCCAACTAAGTCGGCTTTGAAAACATTTCTTTAGGGTTTCTTGTATGTAACCTAGAATCGTCGCTATATATGCCGTCTTTTCCACAGAAGCGTACATCGACCAAGCGAGCTCCTCCATTTTTTTACTGATATCTTCGTCTTTCGTTTCTTCTAGTTTTTATTGTGTGTTATCTTTAGATCGTAGCCTGTGATGTTTGAGATTGTCCGTACCATCTGAGATTATTATATTCTCCTTGACGATTACCTCCACTTTCTGAGGCTTTAGATCTGTTTCTCTCTAGGTTTATACTGTTTTTGTTTTCGACTTGGCCATTGGGAGTTCTAAACCATTAGTTTTATTTTGTGTTCAATTATATTAGGCGCTGATGATGAAACAAGATTACCATCAAACTTTGAGAGATTCATACCTCGTTGATGTATACTTCTTTTTATAATCTGAGCCTAGTTTTTTTTTTCTGAAATCGTAGTTTGGTGATACAAAAGGCAACAAATTAGAGTCTCTGATTCACTTATTCAATGGTGGATAAAGCGCTGTACGTTGCCGAAATAGATAAGGCGATATTCTGGCACTTGGTCTAGTTTTGATAGTTCCATGTGCATTCAAAAGCCCTTACATGTTTCCCTCAACTGAACATCTTCGAATTGCTTGAGTTTTTGATTGGTTAGTAGGTTAATAAAGGCAACAAATTAGAGTCTCTGATTCACTTATTCAATAGTGGATAAAGCGCTGTACGTTGCCAATAATTATTTGGTGCAAAGATCTAACAATTGGCTTTTAGTTATATTTTAGCCAATATGATCGATGTTCCTATATTATTGCCATTATATTTCTCATTATTCACCAAATCTAGCCAATATTTTCAAAATTAGGTTTACTTATTTTTTTAGATTTCTATATCTCCTGATGTATAATCAACATCAAATTTTACTGAGAACAGATCGATTCCTATATACTGAAAATTTGGTTGGAGGATTAAAGCTTTGTTTGATAATGCTGACAGCTATAGTCCCAACTTTACGACCACCGAAATCTATGCTAATACCACAATGGACAAGTACGCTTGTCATTTAGATTGTAAGCCTTGAATGATAGATCACAATTTATATCACTCTTGCCGAACAAAATATAACACAAGCATAATTCGACGAGCAAGCTTAAAATTCTGATTAACAAAATTGAACAATGGTTGAGAAATTAGTCTTTGCTAATATTACCTAACTGGGATAGGAAGACCTACCGTTTTAGTTGATTCTCATCGAAGGCAAAGTTATTTTTCCAAAGCTCTGAAAAAAAAAATTAGTTGAGGGAAAGTTTCACGCGCCTACTTTTTCCAACTAAACAAAAATAGCCAATTTCCAAAGGGGTTAACCTACAGATTTGGGGCGCGTGTTGATAACTCGCTTATAGTGTGCGTGGTTATTTTGTTTTCAAATTCATATTTACCATACAAATATCTTCTAGTGTGGGCTTTCTTCATACCGGCCTTTGGCCCATTTTACAGATTTTTTTTTTTTTTTTTTTAATGATTTTCTACTAATTCGTATGAGACTATCGTTATTTCTTTTTATTTTAAAACACTAGAGTAACTAACCTATTAATCTTCGTCAATTAAACTATTTCTACCTACCACTTTTTTTTATCACCAATTTAATTTCAAGTCTTTTTATTATTGGACAACATAATCAACATTTTTATTTCTTAACTAACTTTAATTTGAGTTACTCTTTATTTTAAAAAATAAATCGAATATGTTTAGAAACAAATTAAAACTATCATATACAGTATTTTCGAAAAATCAAAAAATAAAAGAATTCTTTATGGCAAGGGAAATATAAACCAAAGTTTAAATTATACGATAACATAGTATTATTAATAATGTGAGATTAAACATGAAAATTTATTTTCCAAAATTACTGTTACTTTAATGTATTTTAATAATGTACATATATATTCCTTAAAAAATCATTTAAATATTAAAAATAATAAATAAATTAGTACGTTTTTTTGTTATTTTTGGTGGCTTCAATAGCTATTTATTTTTATCTTTTTTTTTTGTCATAACTATTTATTTTTTATTCATATTAGATAGAACTTAGGAGAAATTTCTATATATATACCAAATAAAATAAGAAAAATAAAGAAAAATATTATAAGTCAAAATAGAGAAAAGAAAAAGAAAAAAAAGAACAACGCGAAGGTTTGATTACCACTCAAAAAACGAACAGCTGTTTATCTTCCAACGAAGCTTCTTCTTCGTGCATCTTCGCTCTTCTCAACTCATCCTCCTCTCCCTCTGATTCACTTCGCCTTGAAAAATTAAGACAAAAGAAAACAAGAGAAGCTCTAAAATCCAGCAGCTATGGCGTTTCTTCTCCCCAATCTATCTCCTTCTTTCCTTCTTCCAACCGGAAAATCTTTCAAAGAGAAACCCATTTCCAACCAAACTGTACCATCATCATCATCGTCTTCTTCCAATAGCTACGAGTTTGAAGAAGATACTCTCTCTCCACTTTCTCTCTTTAGCGTCCAGGCTCCTCCTCCTGTTCGAGGTGCGCAGGTTAAGACCAAACCGAGTGCGCAGGATAAGTACCAGCACGGCAAAGATGACTTCTACATCAATCTCGGTTTAGCTGTACGTACCCTTCGTGAAGATTTGCCTCTTCTCTTCACCAAAGATCTCAATTACGACATTTACAGGTGCTTTTCTCTTCTCCTTTAGGTGATCTGTCGATGAAAACTAGAAATTAATCATCCGAATAAATAAATCAGATTCTTTGTGTTTGCTCTTTCAGGGATGATATAACCTTTGTGGATCCAATGAACACATTCTCTGGGATTGACAAGTACAAATTGATCTTCTGGGCACTCAGATTTCATGGCAAGATTCTCTTCAGGGATATCTCACTTGAGATCTTCAGGGTTTGGCAACCATCAGAGAACATGATTCTCATCAGGTGGAATCTTAAAGGTGTACCTAGAGTCCCATGGGAGGCAAAGGGGGAGTTTCAGGGTACTTCTCGCTATAAACTCGACCGAAACGGCAAAATCTATGAGCATAAAGTCGATAACTTGGCCTTCAACTTCCCTCACCAGCTCAAACCTGCCACTTCTGTTTTGGATTTGGTCACTGCTTGCCCTGCAAGTCCCAATCCAACTTTCATGTTTGGTGCCATGGATTCATACTCATCTTCTTGGATTGAGTTCTACAAAGCAGTGCAAAGGACATTAGACAAGCAGGAAGAGCAGATGCTTGTGCAAGACCATTTCGTCGCATGCTCATAGTGCCGTTGGGCAACACTCAGGTGTATATATATACTGTTATATTGAAGATCATATAAATATGTGTGCAAGCATATACAGATGAGTAGATGTGGTTGACTTAGGTTTTAAGATATCAAAGAGGGTAGGGAACCAATAATACTCTATGTACCCATGAGCTTGTACAACTTGCCTATTGAATGTAAACAGAATTCATTACAGTTGTTTTGTTATATAAAACACATTGATGATTTGTCTTTACGATCAAGCAAATTTATATCCCTTGAACCCAGACACAATGTATGCCAGAATAATATACCAGGTTCACATTCTCTCTTAATCTCAAAGGGAATATCTAAGTAGGACAACTTGGGGGAATCCAAAGAAGTCAGATTTCTATGCATCATTGTGGGTGATGAACATGAGTTTTGATGCAGATTTTGAAGTCACCCATATGAAGTAAAACACTAGTTCTATTATGAAGTTGATCATTTACACATAAGCACACACCTAAAAGGAATCATAAGCCAGAGATTTTTACCTTTTGCTCGGAGGGATGCGAAGAAAAAGTTAAATCATTTTGGCTGCTCTCCCCTGTAAGATTCAGGTAAGCAAACGATAAGAAGAGTGAAAATAATAAAGCAAGGGAAATATATAATACATTTTGCTGAGCTTATGTCCAAACAATCTCAAAACAAGTTTGGGATGCTAATGAAATCTATGATCTGAATGGATAGGGGGAAGATATTCCGCTAGTTTGAAAACAGTACATATGTATAAATCTTAATATCTCTTACCCTGTGATGCCAATAGTCCTCCTACTTATATGCGAGCAAAAATGCAGTGAGACCGATCAACCCCGCACTTCCTCTGTACTAGCAATCTAACAAGTTCACTGCAAGGTAGAGAGTCTTAGGCATCAGATCAAATTTGAAAGTGCACCAACAACCATATAAGCAACGATCAAGGTAAAGAACTCTACAAGGGGAAAAATAATTGAAAAGGCAAAATCAAGTTGAATTTTTTTTTATTACAGTGAACTAATACTCACTTCAATTAGCCAGTTGATAAAAATTCCATGTTCCCAAGTAAAATCCCAAAGCTAGGTTTTATGCCTACATCAGCACTTCGGTTTAGAATAATCAAAAGCTAAAATACAAGAGATACCCTAACACTATAGATTAGGAACTGTCTCAGAGCTTAAAAAATAAATCCTATACACAAGACTAAATATGGTTCACAATGCAAGAGATCAATTCTTCATGGAGGTTTTCAAGGAGACTATCTTCAGTTAATCCAGAGAAGAAAAGAGGCATAATTAATAATGAGTGGATTAGAAATGAGAAAGGCTTTGATCATTCATGGAATCCGTAATTAGAATTTCCAACCCCTTGTCTATATTACCAACGCTGCTCACAGAAATAAACAATAGGCGAAAATTACTCTGATCTCAACACCATTAGAGGACGAAGAGAAACCCTAACTTAAACTTAAGATTTCACATAGAACAATGTCGTCGTACCTCTTTGGCTACATCATCAAGCAATGCGGATAAACTATCAATTAGAATCATACAGAAACTTAGGGTTTCCGTGAGATTTACCTTCGCGAAAACCGTCTTCTGGTATGCTTCGCTTTCGAGAGAGCGAGAACCGAGAAAGAGGAACTGTTATGAAAGCTGAAATCATTTGAGACAATTTTTGAAATAGAGACGAATTATGACCCTGAATTTACCGCCTTAGTCTTGCCATATATAGCCCAAGCCCATTACTAAGCCCATTGGATCATATTTCAGCTTAAGCCCCCCCCCCCCCCGATGTTTTGTTGGATTTAGTGCTGTATCCAACGCAAATCAAGCACGACTAGGCTTCCCGTTCACGAGAAATTACGATGTTCAACAGATATATTATCCAAGTACACAAATCAGAGAGAAACCACACATACACAACCGTATTTCTGTGTATATATTATATAGCTCAATATTATCTTAATTCGAATTACTT